GTTTAACATTTTCATTGGCAAATAAACTCTTGAGACTCAGTATCGAAACGAAGATCGATTCTCGAAATGTAAGCGACGCTAAGCTGATGTTTTGATACGAACACGTTTCAAACATTATTCCATGTAGTTTAAAGCTTTGTCCGCAAGGCTTGCGTATGACATTCAATAAAATTTTGCTGAATAGTACAACGTCTCACGCATATATTGTGGAAAAATTTGGGTGATAAAGCTTAACGTGATCTTAAAGTCTAGAAAATTAATGCTGCTTCTCGAACCAGTTCTTTGGAACCTATCAAGAAAATCAAATTTTCTTTCGATCAAGCTTTGCTATTAATTTGATAAGGGATTGAAAATCAACCAAGTTAATCATTTGATTAATCTAATGAACATCATGTTTGGATCTTAATTTTATTTATTGCTTATTTATTTTAATAAATACATACTTCGGCTCCCTTTATAAATTACAATTAACTTTATAGGATAGGATTATCATTTGGATGACATATATAATAATGCGCGCCGTCGTTCAAATCCGCGACTAGCGATAAATTTCTTTTCGCTGCTCGTTTTGTTCTAACGTGTAATCTCGTTCCTTTTTTTTATCGTTCTATTTCTGCAGTGTGTATATCGTGTTTCATTTATTGATTCGTCCGCTTGATTCGCGCGTATGCCAGTATACACATTATATTTTCCCTTTTCGCTACGTGTTCTTAATAGAACGTTTAAATTTCGAGCTGGCTCTCGTCTTCCATTTCGACCGCTCGCACCTTTCCTTTCTCTCGTTTTCTCTCTTGCTCTCCCACTCTCACTCTTTCACTCTCTTTTTCCTCGACCGTCAGCGCGAGTGGTGAAGGCTACTATTCCTCCACGTGTGTTATTATTCCTGATTTTTTTCTTACTTTTCCCTTTCCTTTTTGTTTTTGTTCGACAATTAAATGTACTACATATACACATAACTACGATATAACGTCCAAGTGAGAAAATTTCGTTTTTATTTCAAAACTGGCAAGGTGACCAAGCACGGACATTCACGTGTCAATAAAAGTGAAGATGGTGAAAGAACTTTTTGTACTTCAGCGTAAAGGTGTGCATATATATGAAGACAATGGGATGAGTTATTCAGTGAGATGACACGATGAAAGTTCGTCGGTTGCGATCAATCAATTCGTCTGTTAAGCTGTTACGATTAAGTTTCTAACGAGTAAGTTGGTCGCACAGATCTTTACAGTTCACCATCGGGCTGCAGGTCGAAGCGTGGCGGGAATGCGGAACCATCCAATTGGGGTTTGAACGCTGATCGATGTGGCTGAAAAGTTCGGAAACGCAATTTATTATTTCCATTTGTCATGAATGCGACAGTTATTAACGATGGGACAGTGAATTTCTTCAAAAGCAATAACTGCTCTTACAATGAACAGTACAACTACAGTGATACACGTTTTTTTTCGATATTAGACACTGAGACACTTTCGAACAAAGAAATCTTTTAAGGGAAATATTCTTCAATTTTTAGAGATGGGATCAAGTTTTTTTTTCGAATTAGAGAATTCGAAATATATATAGTTTACGAATTAACGGATGTAAAATTTCACGAATCATAATTTTCAACATACATATTTTGTCCTTTCCAGGGGTAAAATAAAATAATTATCTTCTGTTTTTTAATTTGAAATTATCTTACTCTAACAAGTGGCGATATCGTCACGATAATACTTTATATTACGCACGTACAGTTAGACGAAAAGTGTATAGTCTTAATCCCATCCTTAACGAACTTCAATTCAATTAAATACTGCTGTATTTTTCGAGAAATTAAACACGTTTCGGGATATTTACACGTTCTCTGTGTCCTTTTCATTCAGTTCATGTATTTGTCGAAGATCTTTGGTGGTGCAATGGAAAAACAACCATAGGGGATTAAACGAGGGTCGTAATACCTCTCTTACGCAGTTGTTGTAATGATTTTGTTTGTTTAGTTTCGCGAAGAGGAACACACTGGACAATATGTCTACATTTATGTCCAATCGAAGTTAAAATCGAAGTTTAACCGCATCGCGCACAGTGTCTAAATAAAACCATAGGTAAATAAATCTATACACGCGTACATGTAACTAACTAATTGCTAACCAAGCAATGACTCGTCTAAATTCTATAGAAAGGGATCTATAGTGATCCGTTCGTAAACTATCGTGAATTTGTTGGGATAGGTAATACACAACGTTAATTAATGACCAAGACCAAGCTCCATACTTGTGAGGTATACCCCCAGAAGTGTTATCAGCTTTTCACACGGGTTTCACAAGAAAAAAAAAAAAGAAAAAAGACATTGACGATCGGCGGATGGGGATTCAGAACAATTCTGTCTGTATACAATTGTTTGCTTGCGATTATTGTGCTCTCCCTTCTTTTGACACACACACGTGCTTGTGACACGTGCACGAACTTACATGGACCGTCGCGATGCTCTTTACTCCAACGCGGAGGGCGCCTTACGGGCCTTCTGTTGGGGCTATACAGGGACATACAGATTTACAATTAGAGATAATTCGCGCAATAACTCCTCGTTGTGTGTGCTGCGCGGCTTTATGTTTCCTTGCTTTTCTACGAGATTTCGTTCACGATTCGAGATCCGAGATCCTAAGTTTACCATTGATATACGAAATTGATTCGCGTGGGACGAAGAATGCGTACATAGTTCGGTACGTTTCAAAAGGGGGTCCCTCTTAATGATGAAAAATTCTTTTCCTTTTATCTACACCTTTGATAGGAACCACTTTGTTCCTTTTCATTTCTATATTTTGAAGTTCACATAGCAATTAACAATAATCTTCTGGAATTCATTTCTGAGGAAATTTTAAACGAAACGTGTTTGGAATTGAGCAAAATTTGAGAAAATCAATAAGAATACTAATGCTTCGAATTGCATTCACTATATTCATTGCGTCCTTCGTGCTGGGATATTCCTAAATTTGTAAAATCTTAAACTTTCGGCCGTATACGTTTACTCTATATTGAATGTAATATTTGTATTAACTCTAGTAACCTGAGAATTTCTACGAAATCTTGACGATTTGTGAAATGTCATTTACAAAAAATGAAAACTTCATTGTTAAATCAGGTGAAATTATTTGTCCTGTCACTTAATCCCTTCAGCTTTTTAAAAGGTGCATTTTAGTGTTCGCGTCGAAGATATTCCAGGCATAAATTAAAGGACTCGGTGTTGAGTTTTGCGTGGTATAAAAGAATGATCATCGCTAGATAAGGTGTAAAGAGAAAAGAAAATAAAGGTGTAGAAATGAAGACGATATCGAGTGTGGAATAATTTAATATTCGCTTACCGCTGGGCTTAGTCCACGCGCAGCACTTCCTCCACGTCCTTTAGTGCGGAACTTGGTGATTGCCTGTTCAGCGAGGTCCGCCCTTTCCTCCGCTTCTTCAAGTTCTTGTTGCGCTTTGCGGAATTTCGCGAGATTCAGAGCAGCAATTTCTTCAGCTTCCTCAATCTGCCTCTTGTACGTCTTGATCTTCTGTTGAAGCTTATCAACAAGGTCTTGCATGCGTTCGTGGTTCTTACGGTCTTCATCGGCCTAAAAATTGCGCAAACAATCGGTAAAGTTCGAATAGTGTATAAGATTTTCTTTTCCATATTGCATATCGTATTGGATTCAGACCTGGAAGCTGAGTTCCTTAATGCGACGTTCGGACTTGCGGAGATTCTTCTGGGCGTCAGCGTGTCTCCTCTGTTCTCCGTCGAGTTCGTTCTCCAATTCACGTACACGTTGTTCAAGTTTCTGAATGGCCTTCTTACCACCCTTGAGGGCATTCGCTTCGGCTTCGTCAAGACGCACCTGGAGCTCCTTGATCTGAGTTTCGAGAGCTTTGCGGAGTTTCTCTTGTGTTTGAGCATGATCTTGTTCGGCTCGGAGTTCGTCGGCTAATCTAGCGGCATCGACCATGGCCTTCTTTGCTTTTTCCTCGGAGTTCTTCGCTTCGTTCAGCAGCTCATCCAAATCAGACTGAAGTAAACGAAATTTATAAATTGTACCAAATATTCTACATTCTTCTAGCATTTTACCGTGCTTCAAATGTGATTTAATCGTGACTAGCTCTTTTTCTCTACATTTTAACGAAAAGAAAAATGCGAATACTTACGTGCAGAGTCTGAAGTTCAGCCTCGAGTTTCCTCTTGGCAGCAGAGATAGAAGCGTTCTGAGCACCCAATTCATTCAGTTGTTCATGGCAGTCTGCCAATTCTTGCTCGGCCTGGCGACGTCCGCGGTCAGCTTGTTCGAGAAGAGTGCGGCTTTCCTCGAGTTCATTCTGAAGAGCGTTCGCCCGACGTTCGGAAATTCCAAGGAGTTCCCTTGCTTCGTCGCGTGCTCGTTGTTCTTCTTCAAGCGCGGTTTGCACATCTTTCAATTGTTGCTGGTATCTCTTGATGTTCTTCTGAGCTTCAGCATTTGCTTTGTTCGCATGATCCAAAGCGATCTCCAACTCGTTAATGTCAGCCTCAAGCTTCTTCTTCATGCGTAGCGCCTCAGCCTTACCCTGTGTACATTTTTAAACGACTTTCAAGTTTGGTTCTCCAATAAAATAGGAGAAAATTTAACGTTTCATGCTGTGCTTTTGCTTACTAACCTTAGCTTCGGCTTCGAGCGATGCTTGCATAGAGTCAAGAGCACGCTGGTGGTTCTTTCTGGTGTTTTCGAATTCTTCTTCCTTCTCCTGGATGCGTCGGTCAATTTCTTGTCTAACTTGGCTCAATTCAAGCTGGCTGCGCAACACTTTGTTCTCTTCCTGTTCCAGAGCGGCTTCGGCTTCTTCCAATGCGGCTTGAAGTTCATCCTTCTCAGCCTCCAGGCGCTTTCTGGCCTTTTCGATCTCGTGAATGTTGCGTCCACCTTCGCCGATCTGGTCCAGAAGGTCTTTCACCTCGTCGGCGAGATTCTTGTTTTCGCGACGTACTGCTTCCAGCTGTTCTTGGCCTTCTTCGTATGCGCCTATACGAAAACGAAGTGTGAATTATATTGGTATACAAAAGTGCGGTGTGCTGCGAATCATAAAAGTTTTTTGCCCCTTTCCTCGGATTTATGTGGGACTTTAATAATGTGGAACAATTGAGGTGATTTTTCTGTTTTCTTTTTGTTCTGTCCGTGAACTAAGTTGAACTAAGGAAGTGTAATTAAACGCGAAAAATATTAAATTGGGATTATCTTCGCGTCGCGTTGAATACAGGGTTTTTAAGTGCATTACAGTGTTTTCGCCATCTGTTCCTTGAATAGCGAAAAATAGTCTAAGAATGATCATTAAAGACACGAACCAGTCGCGACACTATAACTTGTGAAAACTCTGGATGTTTCACTTTCGAGGGGTTTTTATAATTTTCGATTGTTACGTCCCGGTTCGTGTCCAAAGTCATTGTACGGAAACAGGCTTGGTTACGTTTGCATGATTTAGAACTGACGTTCTAAGATTTTTCTATAGGTTTTCCTCATCTCAGTGTTCTCTTTCTTCGTTGACCATAAACAGCACATGCAGCGATTAAGGACGTATCAAATGAAAGGAAACGCAAGGATTCAGAATAAAGAGTGGAAAATATACCTCTGAGCCTGAATAATTCTGTGCTGTAGTTGCGACATTCCTTTTGACTGGCATCGAGTTCGGCAGCAAGATCGTCGACCTTGAGCTTCCATTCCCCAATGATCTTGTCGAAGGCCTTCTGTTTCTTTTCGGCAGCATTGGCAACTGCGGTTGCACGATCGACTTCGATTTGTAGGTCTTCCACTTCTGTCGACAATCTCTGTTTCGTCTTCTCGAGAGCAATAACCTTTTGGTTGAGGGATTCGATCGTTTCCTCTGCTTCCGCCAGACGAGCCTGTAACTTTCTCTTGGCTTCCTCGAGTTCTTCGGCTCTTGCAACTCCTTCGGACTCGTATTTCGTGCGCCATAGTTGTGCCTCTGCGTTCGCCTTGCTGAGTTGTCTCTGGAGATCTGCCTTGCCCTCTGCTTCCTCTTCGACTTGTTCTCGAATATTGTCCAGATCGTGCTCCAGGTTGCGGAATTTGCCAAGAAGTGTGGCGCGTTCCCTCGATTCTTCGTCGGCCAGGCGTTTCGTGTCCTCCAGTTGTGTCGTCAGTGAGATCTTGATCTTGGACAGCTGGCTGACTTGTGATTCAGCTTCCTCCAGTTGGCGCAGCAGGTCGCTATTTTCGATTGACAGTTTCTTCTTAGCAGCGTCGAAGTCGTTCAGAGTGCGGTTCACCTCCTCAAGTTTGCCCTGGGTCTCGTTCAACTGGTGTTGCAGTTGCTTTACGATCTTTTCTTGAGCAGCCTGTTTTTTGTTTTGGACATTTGAAAATCTTAGACGAATCGTTCGATTTTATCGATCGTAGTTGCATTCACTTTTGGAAGAGCTCGTTCATTGGTCTTTACTCGAGCATTAGGTGGTTGCAGTTTATAAACAAAAATAACTGCTGCGCAAAGCAAAAGGACTAAGTGTTCCATAAGTGAGTATTGCAAAAGGAAATTTGCGTATGCTCTTGATAATCCAAAAGTGAATGAATATTTCGAAATAGGGATGTACACACGAAGAGCAAGCTTTACAAGCTGGGCACACTTTCATACGACACGAGTGACACGTGGATACGTTCATGGGAATCACGATGCCTCTGCTGTTCTTGTTTCCCGTATTGCTGCATCAGTTGCCTGATAAAGCTGTTAGTTGCATTAGTCTGCTGTATCGTGGAGCTTTCTCGAAACATACATCTTACCTTTTCGTTACTTAATTGGTCTACGGATGCGCGCATATCATTCAGTTCGCTGAAGTACTGAACCTTGTCCTTTTCAACCCTAATTTTCATGAAAACAGATTTCAAGAGGGTAATTAGTAATTTGGGTGGACATTTGGAGAAATTAGAATCGACAAAATGAACATTTTATGGTTATGATAATATGTATCGCTTGATCACCGACGAAACCCTGGAAAAATGAATTGTAATGTTAAGAGGGAACTTCGCGTGCTCATTCTGGTACGATGAAACATTAAAACATTTTCCGTCAAAACCATTCAGGAGTAACTCGACGACAACAGACGAGTGACAAATAATTCTGAAAACAACGGGTTCGACATTCTCGTAGTTTCAATCTACCTTCTCCCGGGAAACTTGATCCGTTGCAGCGCGAGAATTGTTTAGCTCAGCATGGATGTCATGGCGGCCCTTTTCGGCTCTATTGAAGACATTCAATTATATCTCCAGTTCTTTATAAACAACTTTTCGTTATCTTTACTTTTAAGATTTTTTCGCTAATGACGTTTTCACTACTGATATTTCCTACTAAAATTGTAAATCTACGATAATACGAGCGAGAAGTACTCTTGGAAATTTCAAAACCGTGTTTCTAATTTCTGTTTCTAATATATTTATAAATTTACCTAGCCTTAAGTTTGTTAAGCGTGTCAATTTGTTCTCCCATTTCAGCGACGGCATCGTTATGCTTCTTACGCAAACTGGCAAGAGTAGCTTCATGTTGAATGTTAGCTTCTTCGAGATCTCTGCGGAGTTTGCTAAGTTCAGCTTCTCGTTTCTTGTTAAGTTCGATTTGAGCAGAGGTAGCGCCACCAGCTTCCTCGAGACGTTCGCCAAGTTCCTCGAGTTCTCGTGCCAAGTCGCTGCGCTGTTTCTCAGCTTTCACACGAGAACCGCGCTCAGCTTCGATCTAACAGGTATACAGACATAGGAGAACTTCGTTGTTGTTTCCTGCATCGCAACAATTACAATAATAAATGGAACGGCTGCATAGAAACTTACCTCCTCTTCGAGTTCTTCGATACGGGCTTGTAATTCCTTAATCTGTTTCTGCAGTTTGCCTACTAAGGATTGTTCGTCTTCAAGTTTGGCAGTTAAAGAGGAGAGTTCCTTGTCTTTGCGTTGAATGGTTTGTTCAAGTTCTTTCTTATTTCTCTCGAGGTCCGCAACGGCTTCTTGCGTGAGTTTTAAGTCACCCTCTACTTTTCGTTTAGCTTTCTCTACGTCGGCTCTGTCGAATCAAGCGTACACATATACATTTATGCAATATTATAAATTTGATATTTCGAAAAAAATACTTTAACTAACTAAGAAGTTTCTTAACACATATGTAGGAACCGACGGGAAAATACTGAGAGGGACCCAACGGGAATCGAATCCGGGAATCGGTTTCCTATTTGGGTATGGAGGCCCCGATACTACACTCGGCCATCCTGAACTGACATTCGCCCTCGAATGTCCTCAGCGCAACACAACTCAACACTTTCGGGCACACTCCCCCACAAAGTGGCACACAGCCGAAACAACGCATTTTTGAGAGACGTGCACAACCCTCAACATGTTTTCATCACCACACCTCCTGGCTTCGTGTAGCCGTAGATGCCTCCATCCCGGACGAGCCCCCATTTGTAGGAACCTAGAGAAAAATATTGAGGGACCCAACGGGGATCGAACCCGAGACCTTCGTCTTACCAAGCCGAGGGTTTGCGCGCTACGCCAACCACTCCCTCTCTATTGTCCCTTCGAGGTTTCCTATTTGGGCATGGAGGCCCCGATACTACACTCGGCCATCCTGAACTGACATTCGCCCTCGAATGTCCTCAGCGCAACACAACTCAACACTTTCGGGCACACTCCCCCACACAGTGGCACACAGCCGAAACAACGCATTTTTGAGAGACGTGCACAACCCTCAACATGTTTTCATCACCACACCTCCTGGCTTCGTGTAGCCGTAGATGCCTCCATCCCGGACGAGCCCCCATTTGTAGGAACCTAGAGAAAAATATTGAGGGACCCAACGGGGATCGAACCCGAGACCTTCGTCTTACCAAGCCGAGGGTTTGCGCGCTACGCCAACCACTCCCTCTCTATTGTCCCTTCGAGGTTTCCTATTTGGCTATGGAGGCCCCGATACTACATATAATTTGTGAAAGCTATGAGATTAATACTCTGAGAAATCACTAACCGGGATTTCTTTTCACGTTCGAGGGAGTCTTCGAGTTCGTCGAGTGTATGCTCCAGCTTGATTTTCACTTTGTTCAAGTGATTAACCTTATCCTCAGCAGCTTGGAGCTCTTCGGCAGTCTTTTGGTTAACTTCACCCTGGTTCTTCTTTTCCTTGTTCAATTTGTTGATCAGTTCGTCTTGGTGGGCGATCTCGTCGTTCAGGTTACGGATTTGATGATCTTTTGTGGCTTTATCTTGCTCAGATTTCTGCAGGTTAAGTTCGAGGTCTTCGATGTCCTTTTTTAGGCCTGCTACTTCCTGTTCGAGTTTCTTCTTGTTTTGGAAAAGATTGTTTCGCGCATCTTCCTCTTCTTTGCATCTGTCATTGAGATCCTGTAATGCATGGAAACTAGTGAGATTTCCATTCCTTTCAAACTTACCATTTCCTCTTTCAATAACAATCATCATACTATGTACAATAATTACCGATGTTTCGTTCTTCTATTTCACAGCGATACTTGTTCATTCAAGTTTCTTCTTAAAACATGAGTCTTTTTTTATTAAATTCAATCAACAATATTTTTCTAGCAATAATAAGTTACTAAATTTTTTAACTGAATCTCCTTGATAAAGGTAATTCTTTCTTGCTTAACGTATAACGAATGCATTGATATAATTGCTATTGATACAAATCATTATGCAATGTAAGTGTCAATTCATTTGTAACAATAATATTCACCGATGTTTAAGTATTATAATTGCCGCAGAAACCACATTAATTTTCAATACAAAATGCAGAATGCGGAAGTACATAGGTACTCCAAGTCTCATCTAAGTTAACCTCTGACTTATCAAACAGTAGTTTCTTACTAATTACTGATCGCTACTACAATGTCCCAAAGACTAATCTTGCAAAAAGTCACATAATTTGTTTCTTTTCATTTTCCATGTAACGAATACGAATGTATATAATTGTATTATAAAAACATTTCACCTTTTGATCACTTCTTTATCTGCAGTATTGAACGAAATAAGAAATTATACACGGTGTCTTTGAACTCATGGTACAGCCCGGAAATAGGTCGAAAAAATAAGTCGAAAATTCAGAGTAACATTTTTTCGTACCAAGCTTGATTTCTGAATAAATTAACGACGAATATTCGCTGAGTATGCTTGCACTTACGCTTTTGAGTACATTTCCCAGAGTATTTCCTGCTTCCGAATGTTCAAATGCAAGAATAATTTTATCTTTGAGTTGTTCTCGTCATGGTACACAAGAGACTCGACATGGCTCCATAAGTAAAAATCTACCGGTGTCAAATCCGGGAATCGTGGTAGCCAAGCTATTTCACCGTTACGACCGATCCAACAGGTATATTACTCTTATTACATTTGTATCTTTTATTACCTAATATGATAAACCCAAACAGAAATACAGGTAACTTTCAGTGATATTTATAAGACGTAGGCTTAAGTGAGATTATGTGTAAGTGCACGCGTAGTAAAAAACGATACTCTACATTTTCGACTAATTTTTTCACGTAGATTCAACCCTTTTCGTTGCTGTATATTACTTTATTAATTTTTAGTTCTCTGTGACGTAATTCGTTTAATGTCAAATAATTTCAGGCAATGCCTACATTTAAAATCTATGGTCGATATGTATTTTTTAGATGTTATACCAGCACTCTAATTTGAATTACATATATACTTCTTATAAGAATAATTCCATCGTTGCAATTTTCCGTGATTATTTTGACAAAATGTATGCGAACATTGTAAAGTGTTTAACGAATTCTTAGTTAAATATTATCGATACTATTTGCACGTTATAGAAATCGATTTGTCCGAAAATAACTAAGTTCGTTAAAAGTAATTTGCATTTCTACATTTATACTAACCTTTGGTTTCCTTTTTTTAGAACAACGAATGTTCACACAGGACTCGGAATAAAGTGAATACAAATAATTGAATCTCTTCCATGATATTTAAAGTTACAACCATGAAGATCTGCTAAGACTCTACAACTATGATAATCGGAATTAAAACGAGGAAGCAATTAAAATGAAAAATACTCGTTACACCGAGGGAAATAACGAAACCGTGTAAGTAGACGCGTTTGGGAATGACGGTAGCAAATTTCTGAAACGAAAACGAACGGTCGAGGGGTTGCATGATGACGCATATAAGTGTACCAACGTATAAATACACCATACACCTGTTACTGCCTTCCTTTTCGCGGTTATTCCAGCACACAACCACGCCCACTTTTAATAATCTGGAATCTGGGATCGTCGGCAGCTAAATTTGGAGGTGTCGAAGGTAGGGGTAAAGTAGTCAACGTTCCTCTCTATATCAAGTATCTTAAGCTGATTTAAACACTTTTTCTTCATTCTTCCGCTTCCTTCCTCCCTTGCTACCCGTATACGACACTGTACATTTTCATACTGGGTTTAATCATGAATATCGCGTTCAGATTCGATTACCTTTTCTTTCATCTTGTATTCAACTGCCCTTGTTTCCTGATTTTCGTGAAAATATTCTCTTCTAATGTTATCACGTTTCTTGAACGGAATGCTTGTGTATCAGATATACCAGTAACATGAATTTCGTACAATTTGAATACGGGTGAAGTATCTCCCGTTTCTAAGAAGTTTCAACTTTTCAGATTTATTAACGTCGATGAAAAATTGTCGATTGCTTAAATTCACTGTTTCCCGCTAAGTTGAATTTCTTATTCCAGTAAACGTACGAGATAATTCTAAATTTAATCTAAAAAATGAATCTGCGACAGTACGACCGGTGTTGACATAAAATATGAGTTAGTCAGTCGTTTAAGAGGCGCCCGTTAAAAATAGTTTGGTATTCTGGAACGGATCTTATCCTGCACGGAATTCTTGGAGCTCTTTTTATGTTACACGATCAATTCCACCGCTATCCAATTTCTTTCAATAAACTGGTCGGTTTCGTTAACTATTTCGAGCACAGGAATTCGTTACGAAAAGGAACCAGATGAAAAGCGTACAGTCCTGGGAGTTTAGAATCTAATACGAGTAAAGCTGTCTCATTTGTAACAATACTTTTTACCTTTTTGCTTTACGTTAGAAAAGAAGTTGTGCAGGTTGCTGTTGTTAGACGTATGCATGTGTCAGTCTGTTTCTGTTTTCAGACTCTTGCACACTGACACTGACAACGTCAGGTCTCCCAGGTTAACAATATTATTCGGTTTTACGTTTCGTTAGCATTCCGATAAAATTCAATTTCTCAAGTGTACTCCGATGCGATGAATCGTTCGACGAAGTTACAATACTTTACAGGGGGGGGGATGTGCGGAATGGAAGAGAAGAGGCCGAAATTGTTGAAGCGACGAGGGCAAAACCAAAGAAAAGAATCTAAAATAAGAATTTGGTGATAATTTTGGAATGAATGCAGAATGTAGAAACGACCGAAATGATACTGGATGATTCGTCGTCGAAGAAAAATAGCCTGCGGTGAACGATAGTCAGATGCGTCTGACTAATGACGCACCTCTGCTACTTAATGTTCATGCTTACGAAACGACGATGTATCAACTCTTGCCAGGTGCATCATTTTCTGTAATTCGAGCCAGATCCGTTTAAATTATGATCAGCTTGTAAATTTTGAATTTCAAGCTCTCTCGGAGAAAGCTATAGCATAAATGTTACGTCGAAACTTCTGGATTTCATTACCTCACCCTTTTGGAATTTAAAACTACATTCTTGATATTTTCATCTCGTTATGATAGTTATCGCGTTCAAAACATTTATGTGACTAGAGAAATTTGTCGTTTTTAGAATCGTTACGGTGACATTACGTTCTAACGGAGTAAATTAAAAAGAAATTGTTCCGTTTCTACGTACAAAACTAGAAACGATGTTGTTCTTCGTACAAAATTTGTCGCTTTTCAAATTATGGATTCTTCGCCGTTAATATAACAACAGATTTCTAAATAAGTGCTCTTCGATCATTTTTCGAATTATTTCGTATAAATTGAAATATACGATCAATTGTTTATAAACTGCTAAACAAATATTCTAGCAACTCAAATTATTGGAAATTAGGAAGCTATTATTAATTAGGAGCTATGCAAAAGCGGATCTGCTATTGTTTAGGATGGACACTTAAAATTTTACTTTCCTATTTAATCACAGATCCTTCCTGATTTCCAATATTTTTCTTACAATTGAGGCTGTAATATGTTTCACGTATTACGTCCTCGGTTGATTTCACGAATGTTAAGGATAAATTAATAACCTGATTGTTTTCCGTTTCGACATCGAACCATTCGTCTGGGAGGTATAATTATCGTTTGCCTAATTCATCGTTCGATTTGCGGAGGACGTACACTGATTCATCGCGTAATGGATCTTGTTGTCAACGAATCGTGCCAATTGAACTACTTTCTGCTATATGAATTTTGCACAAGAAAATCATTGATTGGTTTCTTCATTGATTGGATTGCAAGGGAAACTTAAATGTCTGATTTTTAACTAGTACCGGCTTGTTCTTTCTATCAATCTTTAATATTTTTATTCAAAGATTCAGTTGTCACAGTACTTTGCTTTTCCAATTCACACTTCGTTTAATTTCTTAAAAATGACACGCGACAATGAGATTGAACCTCGATTAAAAAAGGACTCATATCTTCAGAAAACTGTTTCTTTCCTTTGACTGGCAAATGAGAATAATTGTCGGTAAATTAAAACTTACCTGAAGTTGTGACTCGAGGTCAGATTTCTGAGCGGCCAATTTCAAGGATTTCTCCATGTATTCCGAGAGAGAACCTTTCTCGCCATCCAGCTGTCGTTGCAAGGCATTCCTTTCCGTGATAAGTTTCGTGTTTTGCTCCTCGAGTTCCTTGCGCAACTTCTCTTCCTTTTCGAAGGCTTCCTGAGCTTTCTTTGCTTTCTCTTCGAGCGCCTGCAATTGGGATTCCATATCACCGTTAGATTTCTGCTCGCTCGCAGCGGCGTTCGTGTCCTCGACCAGCGTGTCACCCATTCTCTTCTCTCAATTCACAGATCTTTGGCCAAACACTCGCCGAACGTGAAAACCGTCGCGAAAAGTAACAACTGATCAATTGAAGAATCTAAAAGCGTTCTCCCATCGGAGAGGATCCAACGTCGATCAGAAGTATAAAGGAGAATGAACGGTAGAGAAGAATGTCGAATGTCGTTTTCGTGTTACAATCTTTCGTTCGGGGTTTGATATCGATAACGAAAGTGAAAAAAAAAAGATAAAAAGAAGTAAAGACCGAAGAAATGCTTCAGTCGCGTTCGCAGCAATATTCGTTGTGTAAAAAAGGGGGCAAAGTTCGATAAAGAAAGGTTTTCGAAGAAGTCGGCGTAAGATCGCGCATTCGACTGATCTTCGGTTTACCAGAGGCTCAACTTTTCTACCCAAAATCCCTCTTCGTGGTCGTCGCGAGGAATCACCGCCCCCACTCCAGCAATACTCATCGTAGAAAAATATTTATAACCGATCCCGATGACGAAAAAGGAACTTATACGTGTGCAACCAGAAGAGGCTACCATGACAAACTGGCTAGGTGGAGGGGGATCGACGAAATTAGAAGCTGTTCCAGTAAGCTCCGAACGAGCAAACTCCAGTCTCCTTTTACGCTCCAGACAGTGTAACACCGATCGACCACGTTATTCCCGTAGGAGCAGCCCATGGAATTGGCTTTCTCCCGTAGTTGGGAACAAGCATCGTTTCGTGAAAAGGGGTGGGATCGTTTTACTGCGTCGGCGCGGTTAGATTTATGCTCTGCTAATATCATTTATAGCAGATGATACTATTTTCGATTGAATATGACTCGGACTACTTCATTTTCGTTGACCCGGTGGAAAATTCGGATAATCGCGCGATTAGACGAGTACCGACCTTAGACCAGACTGATCTGATTACAAAAGATTGTTCCTATTTCTGTAGTCGTTCTGCACTCCGCTAAATCGGTAGGTCGTTCGATCGATTGTGAAATCTCCGTAAATTATTGTCAAATATCATCGATGATCTGTTACCAACAATTTTCGTTGTGTCTATCTTTAATAACGAACTGACATTTTTAAATTGAAAACGGTTATGCCTTGAAAAATGTAAAATTGTTTCGAAGCTTTACGGTTAATTGCCTGCCGCAGAACGTGCTATATGCTTGACGACTTTTTAAGCAATAACGAAATTTTGACTTCAAAATATAGTAAACAGAAGATTTAAATATCTTAGTTTGTGAAAATAATTTTCCAAAATAAAATTCTACCAAAGATACCGAAATAGAGGTCGTTTCGTTTTTAAGGTCGACAGAGTTCACGATGAAATCGAGATTCTGGAATTTATTAAATGTAACAGTAAGTTTATAATACTATAGTCGGATCAGGAAAAACTAATATTTTTGTTTTATTTATATCATCGATAGGAGGGATTATTGAAAATTACGAGAAAGAAAGAGAGAGAAAAGTACGCGCCAAAACGTGTTGGAGGCCTATTTATAGGGTACTAAAAAAAGACGAAATGATTTAGCTTCGATTCCTTTATAATAGGAATTTTGATAAGACAAATGTTGCGAAAATTCTTCACCAATTATATAAATTATGTCAAACTTCATCTAAATCTACGAAAGGTATTTCAAACGTTAAGTTTACATCACACTGATGTCTCTTTTAATCTTCCACCTACACGAGCAACATTATTCATTCGCCTTATGTAGGATATATTTAAATTGTTTAATCAAAACACGTTCTATTTATAGACGCGAACAAATTTCTTCAGAGCGTTTCATTCAACGTATCACTTCTGACTAGAGCTAATCTATTTGTACAGCACGTCCCTATTTTTAATATAACGTTACTCTGAAAGCCAATTAAGTAGTACAAGCGAAACCTACAGTATCTCTATCAGCAATAATTAGTTTCACTCTTTATAGTTCGAAGTGATCCAGATGAAGATCTCGATAACCAGCGTTTCAACATTCGATACCTTTCTAACGTAAGTAAATCAATATTCGTACGTTATATTGTTTATTTACTGACACTTTGCTCCATTTTTTTAACGTACAAAACGATATGTAAAAACAAGAAGCATCGGAAAGATTTCTAATTAAGTTGTAACTGTAAAACGGTATTCTTGAGATATTTATCCCGTGCGTTCTTTTTAAATTAAATCTTTTAACGGTGCTTTCGAAGAAGAATTATATGGAACGTCGGACAATAGCGGAAACCATTGCTTGTCTTTTCGAATGTGAGATCGGGAAAAGAAGAAAATAGCCAGCTTGAGAAAATAAACGGGACGTCAAAAGCTGACGCTTCTGGGAAATGAAATGATCAAGCCTCGGTAAACGAACGAACAAATTTTATGGTAAAATCCAGTGCTATGTTTCGCTTCTCGTAAATTATCAGGAAATGTAGTACAGTAAAAGTTAGTAGCGATACTGTCCGAAGGTTCTTAAAATGATTGTTTGATCTCCGGTAGGGAACACCTTCCTTAGCAAGAAATGTTGAATAGAATAGACATTATGAGATAAACTTACAATAGTGTTACGCAATTTGACCTAATAATGAATGTGTTACCGATCAAATATTATTCGATTGAAGAATCCACGTTCGTAAGTATTACCTTCAAGTTTTGGCCAAAGATTGAATCAAGTGTTTCACGTAAATCGAAAACACGTATAACATGTTAATATTTGATACGTAATATGAAATTGTTAATAAGACGTATGCGCATGATAGGCGAAACAATGTGATGGAAGAACAAATATTTCAAACTTGCGTAAAACTTTAACATTGTTTTGAGACGTTCAGCTAATTCAGGGAAAACGAAAAATTTTATGAAAAACTTCCATAATGTTGTAAAAGTTTCTAGACGAAACAGCAAACATTGGGAATCATTCTATGTAATAAATTATAAATAATACGAAGTAATATTTTCGTAACATTTGTATCGAATGGCTACGGAAAGGTCGCGATGCGTCATTTCAAAGCGCTTAAAATTTTATTTTGTTCATGTTTCTTGTTTGTCTCAAAAAATGAAAAATTTTATTCAGCTTCGTGAAATGTGCGGATGTAGACATATCGAAAAGTCATACTCGAATAAAAGAAATTAATGTACTATCTTACGAAAGAAATTGAAAAAAAAGTATGTAATAATAATAATATTATAACATTAAGAAAGATCGAGGGATATCTAAGAAATAACTTTTGTATTATATGTATGCAAAGGTGCAAAGTGTATGCGAATGTATGTGAAATGCATAAAGTATTTAGTTAAACTACTCACAGCAAGCTCGTCTTCGATACGAGAGACGTTGAGGAGGGGTTTAACTTTCTGCCACAATTTCCACCATGGCCAAGTACGAAGTTGCAGGTACTTTCTCAAATTCCTTTGAACGACAACCAAAGCCAGACGTTGTTCCTGGAGTTTCTTGTAGTCTTTTCTGGACAAGTAACCTCTGATGTAGGCTTGCATCCAGGACACAATCTTGCCGAGACGCTCGTCACGGAACTCTTCCATCTGACCCAGGACTCCGGCACGGAAGAATACCTGTTGTTTTTCAAAGTAGCGGTGGGAAAAAAAGTTTCGGTTAGTAATTGTTCTTCCGGCATTTCCTACGAATTACTTTGATCATTCTCGGTGTCGAATTTGCCTTGCATATATGAACGTTACTAGGCGCGGGAAATATTTTAAATTGACTGTTCGAAGAATAGGTATTGAAAATTCTATTGGACGATGAATAAGGCCGTGCTTAAACACTTTCGTTTGAGCCGAGACGATCAAAGTAACGTTCTTTTAAGAAAGGAGTTAGTACGCAGAATTTCATAAAGCGGAACCTCTGTTTGGCCTGTATTAAAATAGGAAATAGGACATAGAAGCACGATAAACTAATCTAGAACATTAAAAAGCGGAACAAAGGGTTACCTTGTATTTGCTGAATAAAAGAAAATATGCCCAAAGAAATTTCAATGAATTAATATCGTACGTTTAGATTAGATTTAGATTACATTAAGAAGGATTGGTTACTGTTATCCCGAGATCAAGCTTTCAACCTTTTACTTTTCTTGTGGTTCATTCGTTCGTTTCTAACATACTAATTGAGGAATAAAAACATCTTAAGTGGACACATGTAAAATGTTCGTTAGCCGAACTAATTTTGTTGGAATTAATTTAAAATAACAAAAGTGTTTCCTATCTCGTACAGTGTAGAAAAAGGAATACGCGTATGTACGTGAAAATATTCATGAAAATATTTTCATGACGAGTGTTTCTTGTTAGAAAGTATCAAGATCAAGATTAACAAGATCGAAAGCTTGTGCTAGAGAAGTATTATACTTCATTTGTGTTATATTAGACGACCTTTCGTGTTATTACAGGTTAAGCTATGAGTTGTTGTTGTTAGTTAATTGTTCAGTTATTATGAGTTAACCAAAGGCGTCTAGTACCTTGGTGAGACCCATACGATATAGCTCTGGCTCCAGATTGATTGCGTCCAGAATCAGCTGGGTCGCTTTTTGTGGGTCGCAAGGTTCTTTGATGGCATTGGCGCACAGAATTTTGTATCTGCGGTGGTTCGTTTTATGGTTGGGGTGGCACAACAAATAAAAAATATCCACACATGGTTAAACGCTTGTAGACGATCTAATTGTTATGATACTAACAATGGGATTGCATTGTATTTCTAAGGGAAGATTGCTGACTGGCATGAGATCTGTCCTGTAGTTGGTCTCACGTTTGTTACATTTTTCAAGATTTCTAAAATAGAACTGTACGTAAGCAATCATCTACTGTATATCTACTTTGTTCATCTGCTTGCTTCTAGAATTCTATCTGAATGTAGAACTGACGGCACGGAAGTTCTGCGTTAGAAATCTATAGCGTTCAAAGGGAATAAGGCAATTGTGATTCGTAAATCAACCTCAAGATGTTTTAACAGATGTTTTCGTTGGTTAAACACGTTTGCACTTGTGTTTATGCGAGGCAGCGTCGATTATTAACATGAGAAATGTAATTCCTGCGAAATAAATGTTTGAGTGGTTGATACATGCAGCGCAGCGAGATAAAATCTACCTGAGGTTGTTTCGTGACTTTACGTATCAAGAGGCATAAATGCCGTTTAAAGTTTCCAAAGAGCAAAGTTAACAATCTGACGCAGTTATTACGGGGAAGTGAAACCTTTTCATCACAGAAGCAAATTATTCAACGAATTTTAAATGCATTCAGAGCTTAATTTTCGATCGTTTCATATGTAACCGTACCATGCGTCGTCAAACTGATAGCAATATCGTTTTATACGTCGCCGTTTATTGAAATCTGCGCTGAATGTATAAGCCAGAAATCAAACAATCGATGAAGTTCGCGGAACCACATGAAAGCTCGTTATGCGCAGTAAACGTAATCGCCGATATTCGTGTGCGTAACGAGCAGCCCGCAATCGCGAAAGAAAACGTGCCTTGGTGTGTCCAAGACGATATTGATCGGGATCTAGGCCAGACGCCTCCAAAATCGCCGCTGCAGCCTTCTTCGGGTCAGAAGCCACCTTATCGACTGCTGCTGGCGCTAGAATCTTGTACCTACAGGTGGGTGGGTTGCAAGGCAAAAGAAAACAGGAAATCGAACTCTATTAGTACAGGGTCACCACAAATCTAACGACTGAGAATGATTGTGCTCGCATATCGGTTTAGACGTTTGAGTAAATGAACGAAAGGGAGATTCTGCTCTGCATCGGTTCCGCTTCTTTCGACACGTACTGTTCATTAAATACAACTTTATACATTTCCACCAATCTTTCTAAGGGTCACACAAGGCTTACTACGTGCATATACATATTCATGATGAGTAACTTATGAGTTTGAAATTTCTAACTGGTGGTGCTACTTGAAGGGGCATGTTTACTGACAAAGACATGTTTCTCAACTTTACGTGACTCGTGCATAAACTTTCCACCAGAC